GGGCCCATGGTTGGTCCTTAAGGGGTCGTACCTTATTTTCTAACACGAAACCCTCTATTTTTAAGTACGGGGAGTTACTCTAACCCTCACTTTAAGCTGTAGTTTAGCCTACTAATTTGCAGAGTGTTACAGTATTAGGCTGGGAAAGTATTTCCTTCTCATGAATCTGCTCATCCTCCCCTCATCACCCTCTCTCGCTTCTCGTCAGCCGGTGGAGGGTTGTCACGACCCAAAGTACACCCTAGAAGATAGGGCATCCTTGGAGTCGCCACATGGTGTACTCGACCTCTCAGAGGTCTTGCACAATCCCTTAGACTTAATTCATTGCATATATATATATATATATATATATATATGAAAAGTAGTGCAGAATTAAAACTTTTCACAACATTAGAACCATAGTTCAAAATCTCTTTCATAGAAAACATCGGAAAGGCTAAGTCTCTTTGTAGACATATTAGACACACAAAAATCTTGGGTCACAACCCATACGTCAACAAAATAGAAAATATCAAAGTCTAATACAATGTCTTTTAAAAAGAAAGCTAAACATAGTTATGTCCTCGAATCAATTGAGGACATACCAAAACTTGCTTGAAAGGATTCTAATTCCAAGCTTGCTTCCAATAACCTTTTCACTTGCCACCTACACCTTTAAAGATAAGATAATATATGGAACTACTACAATTAATGCACTAAATATGGTGGTATGCAATAAAACCATGTTAAAAGGACATTTGCTTCAAAGTATGCTTTCATGCTCTTTTGATGTAAATCTTACAACATAAGTATAAGAAACCACTTTCAAGACAACATACACACATTTAAATCATATTCCAATAAATCCACAATATAGCATTAACATCACTTCAAACCATATAAGTATATAACCCTCCTACCAAAGGTTATCCTAAGACTTACTTAAGTAAGACAAGAAGAGACCGTCAATACACCCTATTCAAGCACACCTAAATAATCCTTAAGACTACCTAAGATAAGATAATTCCCTTTTCATCATTAAACCTTCTACTAAAGTTACTCTAAGACTCACCTAATTAAGACATGAAGAGACCGCCCATTCATCCTCTTCAAGCCTACCTAAGCACTCCTTAAAGCTACTCTAGATAAGAACCTTTTCATTTACATATCTTAACTTAAGTCCTTTTAATTCATCAAACCAATCAAGATACAATTAAGCATTTAGAAGACTTCACGTATGGTCTTGGAAGACCTAGGGAACCCTCACCCTAACACCTTCAAAGCCTACTCATGTGATGTCTAGATAGCATCCCATTCCACTACGTACACGTTGTAGAACTTATCCGGCAGTAGAATGCATCCCACATGATGAGAATAAGCAATAACTGACATACACCATACTATCTAGGAATGGAATCCGTAGTCTACCCTACTCCGATTGAGGGTGTTCTACTTGCCAAGGGTAGAACTAGGACACATCCCATGTAGGCACATGGTTAAAGAATATCAAGGGCTTTTTTTATACTCTAGTCTCATTGTCAAGTAGAGACACTACCAAAAGCATATTCTCTCGGTGCTAGCCATGTTCTCATAGAGTACTTTCATTCACATGGAGGTAATTGAGAAGATACCATTTCTTAGTTCTACCAATTCATAATGCCACTACCAAGAACGGGTCCACTAGGGCTTCCACTCAAGTAACTCTTATGACTTTCTTTGAAATGTTTCATGTCGTTCCAGCCAACCTATACCTAAGTTCATCATTCACACAAGAAGGATACCATTACGTCTTTCAACTTCATGGATATCATAACCTTCTTTCTATATTAAAGGTTCCAAGTTATTGACCTTCTTTACATATTCAAGGTCCTATAAAAGTCATCCCTAGAAGAACACCATCTTAGGTCTATCGTTCCTAGACTTCCGTTCATACACATACATGACAAAGGTGCTTAAGCCTACTAAGTCAATATGTTTATTTTCACATGCTTCCATGTACCAAGTAGAGAGACATAGGTCTACCAATCAAGACACACATTATCATCATATCACATATTCAATGACGTTCAAGTATCATGTAGAAACAGCTAATTCTACCTATCAAAAGACACATTTAGAGACATCACCTAGTTTATCCAAGTCACATATAACCAATTAGAGGTAATCATGCTTTCACTCCACACGTACACATAAGCCATGTAATCATTCATATTGATCAACTATACAAGCTACAACATGATAACATTACAATTCATAGAATAATTCCAACAAGCCATGTTCTTCACAATTATAACACATAAGCACCGCCACCATAAGTGGACCATGCCAATCAATACAATTAGATAGAAATTCTACGCAATATAAAAGAGATTAGGTCAACTTACCACATTTCCATCATCAACATCTCATTCCTTAGCCTTTTCAATCAATTCACTTCACAAAAGGCTCTTACCCATAGCCACATACAAAATTCTAAACCAATAATCAAACCATACCAATGATCCAACAAGATGAAATATGAATATCATTAAATTTAGGCAGCCTATATACAATTCTATCATGATCTATACATAATTCAATGGCTCAATTGAATCTACACAAGAGTTCATCAATATTAAGTCCTGATCAAATCACCCATGTAAGAGCCAAAAATAGGAATTCATGTCATGCATGGGTTCATAAGAATTTTGATCTAAAAAAATTCAATAAACATCAATTTTATCATAAAGCATTGTTTCAAATCATTTCATGTAAGAACCCATGGCTAGAATTTAAAATGGAAGATTTCATGTTTTTGAACATTTTTTAAAACCATTTGAATTTGACTCCTTGAATGGAAGATAATCCAAGGATGAAACATCATACCTTATGTGAAGAAAATCACACGAAATTGATTGAGAAAAACTTGAAAAAATATGTCTTCTTCTTTGGAGCTTCAAAGCTTCATTTATAGAGGTTTCAGAGAGAAGGAATGGAGAGGTTTTCTTTTGAGTTGAGGGTTTAGCTTCATTGATGACTTTGAGGGGTTTAAAAAGACTCAATAACCGTCAATAACTACTCTCCAAAATAACCAAAAGACCCCTGCACTTAATGGAAATTTTAACCATTTCAAATTTGACTTTAAAATGATGCGACTAAATCTGGGACATGGTTGTGCGTCACGGAGGCACTTCTAATTGTTGGATCTGGAAAATTTTGAGATATAATGGTTCGTGTTGGCCCCGCGTCACAGGGTAAACTTTTTTCCCTTTAAGTATAGCTGGCGCGACGTGTCTTGGACCTCAAATCTTGGCTGCCTCGACAGCTTCATTGGCCCATATTTGGATCCTTCTCAAGGACCTTTTGCTGGTCCTTGGGGCTTTGTTATCATATTTTTAGACCCTTTACATGTCATTCTATGTGTAGGAACCATCGATACTCAATTTCACCCTCAAACTATTCCCTAAAACTCCACTACAAAACACTACAACACATTACTTCAACTTAGACTAGTTTCTGGATGTCTTGAACGTTTCACTTCCAAACTCATCAAATTGACTTCTAATATTTATATTCATCATTTTAAGACCTCATTAAATCACACCACATGTTAGGTTATAGTTTAACCGATCTTGTTTTTAGGGTGTTATGGGGGTCACTGCATATCCCTAATTAGACCAGGTTCTTGTCATCTTCCTCTAGTAGGCCTTCTCCCGTAATCTCTACCACGACCTCTCGCTACTGATCCCCCTCGAGGTGCATCTCCAATGGTTTTCTCAGGATCCCTCTTTCTTTCGGGTGTTGATGTTGCCACAATTGTTGCTCTAGTTCTTACCATTTGTGAAATAGAGTGAAAAAGGTCAGATACCAATTTGCATCACCTAGATATTAATTGGATTCAAGTAATAGAACGAACGAAGGAAAGAAATGAGTTTACCTAAAGTCCTATAGCCTCTCGAAGAAAAGTAAAGGTGTCCCTGTACCGTTCCACAAGACTCTAGTAGACTTGTTCTTGTGTGATGAGATCACCAAACCTAAAGCTCTAATATCAAGTTTGACACGATTCAAAACTAGTCATGAGTAACACCACAGTTAACCTCCTAAACCAGCAAACCAACGAACTCAAACTCAAGATTGATCAATTATTCAACTTACGGAAACAACCAAATTTTGGAAGCTCAAAACTTATTAGAGCTCCAATAAAAGAAATTTCTAGAGTCTATTATTATTCTTTCCCCAAAACATTAAAGTCATCATAAGGACATCTATTCTAGAAATACCAAGTCTGAGAGTATTAAATGCACAAAAATAAATAAGTAGCATAGTCTATGTCCAAAATTTAACGACATCATGCCATGAGCGAGGGAATCCAGCTGAGAGAGAGTCAAAGTCGATGGCACTTATAGCACTCCACAAAAGAAAATGAAGAAAACACAAGTAGGGGTCAGTAAAGGGTAACATGTACTGAGTAAGTATCATTGGTCAACTCAAAATAGAACAAATCATAACCTACCTCCACTGAAGAATCGAAGTCAAGCAAACTACTTTTTCAATATTTTTCATTTCCTCAATGCCTCTGAACCTTTCCGATCTATCAAGTATATATGCATAATTCGTAAGTTAACAAGTCTGTACACACTCATATTATTATATGTCTAGCCTAGACCCAAAAACTCACCTAATTTTATAATTAATTTTCTAAAGTTCAAACTTAAGGGGTAAATCTTAATTCCTCCAATTAACATAACTTTAATGGAATTTAAATTCGATATACCTAATATTTAATTATCTATACTAATATATCAAAATATAATTTATAATATAATAATATAATTATAAAACTTAAAGCCGAAGCCATTGGTTACAAACTAGTGGCAACCAGAACCGACCAAATTTATCTCCAACAAGAAATGCACCTTAATAATAATATTTTTATGTATTAATTTTAAACATACTAAAAATTTCACCTCAATTTCCTTAGTAATCATTAGGTCATTATTACGTACAAACTTTGCCCCCAACTTCAACCTAACTCTAACATTCTTTTCACCTATAACGCCCCCAACTTCAACCTAACTCTAACATTCTTTTCACCTATAACGCATGCAACAACCTAATTGCAACACTAATCCATTATAATTTATGTAAACCAATAGAAGAATAGACATTAATTATCTGGATATCCGTCTTCTTGATAGATGCCGAAGGTATTGTTTTATCACCTCAAACCATTATACTTTCTACATTTTATTTACTCTCTAATTATTATATATGATCAACTATAAAAGTGTGAAAGTGACCACTATTAATTTTGATGTTATTTTTTTTAGTGATCAACTATATAAATTATTAAAATTACTCCATTAACTTTATAATCGTAGTTATGAATAATCCAAAATATCATTTAGAATCTATCGAAAAGTGTTTTATGAAATAAAAATTTTTAGTACTCAAAACGATCAAATAGGTTGTTACAATTATATTAAATGTTGACACCTTTTCATATTGATGAGTAGTGACTTTCTCAAGGTTTGTAACTTTTTTTTTATAGAGTTTGACTTTTTTTCGTTGAGTTATGATATTTTTGAAAATTTGTGATTTTTCTGAATAATTGTGACTTATCAGATTAGGCATGATAGACACTTTTTCATTCTATCATTTGTTGTTTATACACAAAGGAGTTCTCTCACACTTTTAAACTAAGAATTTTGTAATATTTCTATTTTTCATCTTAAAACAAGGAAGAATGTAAGAGTTGTTTAACTATGCAATTAAAATATTTTGTTGTTTAGATTAGATAAATCAACAAAAATTGATGCAACAAAAAGAATGGAATAACTAAACTTCAAATGAGAAGACTATCTAAGATAATTAATATGTACTCATTTTCATAACCATAAATATACCTTTTCAAAAACTTCTACTTGACAAGAAAATCAATGATTTTATGTTTCACAAACTACAACTTGTTGTTCAAGTTGTGAAAAGTCTCAAATTGTTGGAAAAAAGATTTTATCAAAAACTTGTTTGAAAATTCTAAACTAGATTTTATAATTACTCTTTTGTTTTCAATTTATTTCTTTTATTTTTACTTTTATTCAATTTAATATAGAATTTTTTTTTCTTGGAGGTGGGGCCGCATCTTAATACAACAATGTTAAAAGACATTTCTATATATTGTAAATATCCTTAAATTGAAAGTCTTCTTTATTTTTTAAAATTTCATATCAAATTAATATTAGACAATTTTTTATCAATCTATTTATACTACCTTAAAGGATCAACTACCAAACTTAAATGTTAAATTATTATATTAATCCAACTTAAAAAACCAAATTTAGTATATCTTCCATATATTATATTATATTATATTATATTATATTATATATAAAAAAAATACATTTTCACATTGAAGGATTGTTACATTTTCAAAGAGCTATAACTTTTCGATGAGTCATAGATGACTTTTCTATATATAAGAACGCGACTTTTTCAAAGAGTTGTGACTTTCCTGAAGGGTTGTAAAATTTTCAAAGAGTTATGATTTTTTCTGATAAGTTTGTGACTTTTCCATATACCGAGACGGACAATCTCCACGTGTCTGTGCGGACAATCTCAATGCACTATCATAAAATCAAATAATTTCCACATGGATAATCTTCACCTGCCCAAATTATATTCTTAATATCTCACCATCCCAGCACGGACGATCTCCACATGCCCGACTTATATTCAGTCTCATTTCAATGCATGTGCACAATATTATTTCAATAAAGGGGATGATGATGAATCTCAATCAATCAAATATCAGCATAATACATAACTACCTCAACTATTACAAATATATGGGTTTAAATAAGGAACACAATCACACAAAGATTTCAATACAATAATACATCAGCTAATGCCTATATGTTTGGCATTCTTGGATTACCATCCGCCTACTATAGTAATAAACTTTTCCTTTATAACAACGGTACTCGCACCAATGCCCGTCACACTATTGGTACAAGACCCCCATCTTTCGCCCTTACCCATTGTCTATTTCGATTTTAATCTTTAATTAGGAAAACGTCCTTCAAAGAAGTCTAAAAGTCTTAACATACCTTAAATGTCGAACCCATGCCACAATCCTCAAAATTTTTCCTTCCCTTTTCGCCAAACTTCGGAACGTTCCCAATCTACCAATTATGCAATATTTGTAAGTAAGTCCGTTCATAGATACTCAAATTAATATATGTCTAACCTAGACCCCAATACTCACTCATATCTTTAATCAAACTCCTACTCTTGATACAATTTACATGTCAAGAATCCTATTTGCTAAATTTTATGCCTAGTGTTAAACCTTAATCTCTCCAAATATCCTAAAATTCACTGTTAATCATATAATATACACCTAATAATTAATAACATATATCAATATATTTATCTTAATTTTTATACTATGATAATAATATAATAATAATGATAAATCAATTTGAACCATATATGAAAACCCAACTCTCATAAACTCAAATTTCCTACGTTATACATCTTTGCATACCATTACTAATATATATATATATATATATATATATATAGGCAGTCATTAGGCAATCATTAGGCCATCAACAATTTGCAGCCGGAACCCAAAATATAACTCTCTCAACAACCAATTTAAACAACACTTACGCTACAGTGCAATATTAAAATCCAAAATTTGATATATAAAAATTTGAATTATGGCATATTAGTTATAAGTAGAATCTGGAATTTAGTAACTATAACGGCCAAAAACAAAAATGGTATGTGACTCGCTAGAATCTGCAATTTGTAGAAATCAATATGCTCACTCCTAAATCATCATTACCCACTCATTGGTCTTATCCAATACTTGTACTAACCATTCTCATCATTAACTAATGATTAACCATCAACAATTTGCTAAATTTTGACTAACCCTACAACATGAGCAGCAACCACAATGACATAAACATACTATAATATTATCTTCCTAAGATAAGATCAATGCATCACATCATTCATATACCTAACAATTTGATTATATAATCACTAGATTGAGGTTAAAGTTCTCAGTTGAACGATCGTTTCTCCTAGGTCGTGTCTACCGCTGGTAGTTTTCCGTATATTGTTATTTCTTTCTCCTTCTTAATTTCTTACTTGGAAAAAATATAATTGTGAATTAAAATCTTAAATCTCACTATTTATTTTAATTACATGGGTCAAGTGATAAAGAAAATTACCTATGGATATGACCCACTAACCATTCAACTATAATACTCATTTAACAAAAATTCATCAATTAGATATTTATAGTTATTGAATAGTTTAAAATATCGTTTTAAATTTTTCATAAAGAATCAAAATAGTCCTAGTTCTCCAAATAGCCTAGCGGATCGTTATATAATAACTAAGTAATACGCTATGAGTGAGAAAGGAGAAATTATATTTAAGAGGTGTAACTAAGAGATTTTAAAGAAAGTTTACTGTCACTTTCACAAGAACTTATACTTTATTATTCATTTTATAATTATTTACTTAACTTTTTAAATAATATTCATAATATTTTTTAAAATAGTGTAATACATGGTTTGATATTCACGTGCAACACACGCAGGTCAAAACTAGTATTACATTACAAGTGGGAAGCCTCAAAGCTAAAATTTGAATTACGATTTACCCTTGTTATAAATTAAAATTATATAAAATGTCTAATTATTTAATAATAATAGTAATAATTTACATTTTAATTTAGATTAATAATTCCAAAAGTCTATACATACATTACTAGCTCTTCCTCTTCCGATAACTTTTTCCATAATTATGATTTATGTGAATAGTGTATGATCATATTAATTTAAGATGAATTTTTGTAACGATCCTCATAGTTATTTTATGAATTTTACTCATTTTTTTGAGTTAACCCTTTTAATAGTTTTATAATGATTTATGACTCGTGAAAATAAGTGATATAATTTTCAAATTTACTAAATGATTATTTTTGTTGTTAGTAATAAAGAAAATAAATGGGTCAAGCCCATAATAATAATAATAAGGGCAACTTTCACATACAGCAAACTAAAAATTTATATTTGTATGGTATAGCAAAGTTTGCATTATTGCGCTTCATAGCAAATATAAAACTGTATAATTCGCTATACATATGCAATTGTATAATTCGCTGGTCTAAATTGTATAATTCGCTGGCCTATTTCGCTGCAATTGTATAATTCGCTATCCTATTTCACTGCGATTGTATAATGCACAATTGTATAATTCGCTGCCTATTTCGCTGCAATATTTTTATAAAATTTGCTTTGCATACAGTTGAATCGAATTAAAATGTATGTATATTGCATAATTATAAGTTTATATCAAGAAGATATATGTTTTTTTCTCGTTTTATACAAAAACAGAAACACAATATATACACTTCTGTTGTATAAAGCTAGAGAAAATTGTATTTCACTGCAATTGTATAATTTGTTAGCCTTTTTGTCTGCAATATTTGAAGTAAAATGTTTGTAAATTGTATAATTAAGTGTATAACACGAAGATATATATTTTTGCATGTTTATATATAATTTTCTCTCGCTTTATACAAAACAGAAACAGAATTATACACTTTTGTGTATAAAGTGAGAGAGGCGAGCGAGAATGGATAGTGGCGAGCGAAATTGTTGGGAGAGAGACGCCTGACAAACTTTAGGTAACGTTTGTTATGGAGCACAATTAAATCAAACCCTAGCTACTCCATTTATTTTAGGTTATTAATTTACTATTATATACAATTTTTCTTAATAATAATAGGTTAAAGGTTGTTGTTTGTTGTTTGCAGTATTATGCACGAAGCCACGAACAAACAAATAAAAATAAAATAATGCAGAGGAAGAAAAGCTACACAAACAAGAAAAAGAGAGGAAAAAGAACGGCCAAACTTCATGATTCATATAGGTAAGCCTTTAAATAATGAATTGAGTGTATGCATAAAGGTGATATTTTTTTAATTTATTATTACTATATATGTTAGAGGTGACAAATTAATTTGAAAATTTGGTTAAGTTTGTATTTCTTGCTGGTGGCTGTCATGTTGGTTGGTTAATGTATACAAGACTATTAATGGCTAAGGTGTTTAGTGGGTAAGGAATGAGGGAGTTATAATTTTGCTGTTGGAGTTGGTGAATGGCGGCTGAATGTTAGTCAAATGGAAGTGTGATTTAGATGCAATCTGTTAACTTACAATGTGATTTGAATTATCTTATGATTATTATATTATAATTCAAGTTTTGATATATTAAGGTACATAATTAAATATAAGGGGTAATTTATTATATAATTACTATTAGAATTATGATATTGGAGAAGTTGGAACATTACGTTAGGCTTGAAATTTAAACATATGAGGGTTGACATGATGATTGACATCAAAATTTATGAACTTTATTTTTTATTTGTGTTAGTTTTTTTTTTTTGTCTAGGCTAGACCGATTGTAATACGAGTGTTGTTAGTTTCAAAAATTTATTGTGATTAATTATTTGAATAGATTGCACTGATTTGGAAGCCTAACAAAAGGAGAAGGCTCAAGTTTCGGAGTAATTTTTCAATGAATTGAGGCAAATGAATTTCTACGCTTTTGTTAAGGATATGGAATGTGTGTATTCCCTTGTGGTGTATGTATAGAAGTAATGGGAGTTGGTGATGGGTTGACTTGTCCACATCAATAAATTCTAATGATGAAAAGGGATAATAAATGACAATGTGATTATTTATTGTTTGTGATGTGTTGAGAATGGTACGAGTACCGGTATTATAATGGGAAAGTCTATTACTATAGAATGAATATTGTAATCCGAGAATGCCAAAGTATATGGGCATTAACCGATATATTATTGGTTTGATTTATTATGTGTGATTGTTTTATTTACTGAACTAGTATGAATGTGATAATTGAGGTGATTATATGTTATAGCGATACTTGATTTATTGAAATGTTGCATCATCTCCTTTATTTGATATCATATTGTGCACATGCATTGACATGAGATTGGGTATGAGTAAAGGTCTAACACATGGAGATCGTCTGTGTTGAGATCGAGTTATGATTATTCGGACACGTGGAGATGTCCGTGTGATAGAAAAGTTATGATTATGATTTGTACAGGTGGAGATCGTCCGTGTGAAATTTGTTTGATTTATGATAGTGCATTGAGATCGTCCGCACAAACACATGGAGATCATCCGTGTCGGTATATGGACCTCGCGAGTCCCGCATGGGTCATGAACTCTCGATGTATTTTCGAGGAGTCTCATGTATATACTGTTGAGAGTGAAATTGGTATTCTGAGTCATATCACTTCAAGGTGTCATATTGCATTGCATCTCATGGCATCCTTCATTCTTGATGATTATGTGTTTTATTGATGGTTGGAAAGTACTTGATATTTGATTACATGTATTTCACAAACTTGATCTTGTGTGTTGTTGAAAGTTGTGATTGTTGAATGTTGAGATTGTAGTTGAGGATGTACAAATTTGTTTGTTGACACCCAATTTTGACCAACCTTTAACAATTTTTAGGAATACTATTCGATTAAATACGTATTTTAAAATTTATTTAATGTTTAGAATTTTTAGTCAATTTTGCTTGAAAATTTTATATTTTAGTATGTTTTACTTTATAAAATTATTGTAAATATTATTAAAATATTTTTAAATTATTAATGAATTTTGAATGTTTTAAAATTTAACTGATTTTCAATTATATAAAAAATATTTTAATATATGTAGTATTTTAATTAAATAGTAATTCCTAAATTTTCTCAAAATTATTTAAATCCTAATTTTATTTTAATTTCTTTCAATTCTAGAGATTCTAATTCAAATTTTATTTCAATTATAGTCATCCATTCATTTTAATTTTAGTCAATTTAATTGCAATTTTAGTCATTCCATGTTCAATCCAATTTGATTTTAATACTTCATCTTTTAATCTCATCCATCCATTTTTCATCAAATCCTAGATTGAATCCTAGTCGTACATCTAAACTAATCCTACGGTCAAGATGTAACCTCCTATTCTTCCTATTTCTAATATCCTAAAGAAAAAAACCTAAACTTAACTCATCTTCTTCTTGCCCTCTCCTTTGCAGTCGCCCCCCTCTTCCCCCTTTTTTTTCATGCAAAGGCTGCCGGAGGTGGTCGCCTTCCTCATCCCCCGACGACTCTCTTCCTGTCTTCTCCTTCCCCTCTTCTCCTGTCTTCTTCTTCCACTCTCTCTCCCACTCACCTTCCTCTTACTTCCTCTCCTCTGTCTCCCTCGTTCTTTTCTCTTTTCTAGCAGGGACAAGGGAAGCTCCAGCAGTCGAGTCCACCAGCAACAACTACTCCAACCAACAGCGGCCAGTCACGAGGAACAACAGCGAACTTCCACAGGCGAGCAACGCCGGCGAAAAGCGACCAACGAACAGCATCCGTCCGGCTCTTTTCTCCCTCCTCTTCTCCTTCTTCTTTTGCAGGCAGCAGCAACTACAGGCCACCACCGGCGGCCCCTGCTGTAGACACGTAATTTTTTACCGAATTTAAGTTTTATACCTTTTTTAGAGCTTAAATATTTTTTTATAAATATTTTGACTTTTATCTTATTTTATTAAGTTTATTTTTAAAAGATATGAAAACCATAAAAAATTTAGAATAACACTTTAAGGTATATTTTTATTTATACGTTCAAAGTTTTAATAAATTAGTGATTTTAATTTTTTTATATATTTTTATCTAGCTATTTAATTCTTCTTAATTATTATTATTATTTTATAACAAAAAAATTAAAAGAAATTAACCTACCCATTATCCCACCCCACTACACCATTTCTCTCCACTCACCCCACATCCCACTCCACTAATTCAACTCTTCCATACACATGTACACACATTTACATATATATATATATATATATATATATATATATATATACACACACACACACACACATTAATAAAGGAAAGAAGATAAGGGGAAGAAAAAAGTAGTACAAAGGAAAAGAGAAGAAGAAATTTTAGAAATCCAAAGAGAGAGAAAATCAGCAAAAGAAGAAGAAAAAAGGAGTACAAAGGAAAAGAGAAGAAGAAAGGAGTACAAAGGAAAAGAGAAGGGGAAGAAAAAAGTAGTACAAAGGAAAAGAGAAGAAGAAATTTAGAAATCCAAAGAGAAAAAAAAAATCAGCAAAAGGGAGGAATTAAAAAAAATCAGCAAAAGAGAGGAAAAGAAAAACAAAAAAAGAAAACTTTTCACCCTTTTTTTCCCTAAGGAACACACGCACAAAAAGAAAAAACTCAAAAATAGTGGAATTCGAGGCTTCAAATTCGTGGTCCTTATCGAGGTATTTTCTTTGTGAATTAATTTTCACAAAAGGTAACTCTTGATCTTTATTGCATTATTTGGTTTCAGAATTATGCAAGATATGATTTCAATGATATAAAGTGTTTTAAATTTATGTATGCTTAATTTTTACATTATGATATGAAATAGATTGAGATTTTATGTTATTATATTTAGAGTAAAATTTATAGAACATGTATTTATTCTTGTTTGCTCTAAAGTTTCCTTTAATCTCGTTCTTTATTAAAATTCGAAGCTTAATATTCTACAGTATGCTGTTAGTAATAATTAGATCAAATTTAGTTCTTATGTAACGACCTGTTTAGTCAATTTGAGCAGCAGATTTTATTTCTGGAAAAACTGGCTGAGACGACGGATCCCACGACGGACCGTCATGGGCACGACGGACCGTCGAGGGGGTCTCGTTCCAAAACACTTAGATTTCTGAAATTTGGGTACTGAAATCAACTCTCTGAACTTCGTGACGGAATGGCAGGACAGACCGTCACAGGCGTGACGGGCCGTCACAGATCCCTCAGTAAATTTCAGCCTCTGAACTCTGTGACGACTCAGCAGGACGGAGCGGGACGGACCGTCGCAGGCATGATGGCCCGTCATAGGCTGCGTAATCCCAGGCTGGGTTGGATTTCTTTAAATGTTTTAAGGGACGTTTTGGACTATTCCTGCTATAATTATAAATTTAGTGGGTGAATATTAATAATCCAATTTCTTGAGGGTTAAAGGAGATAACTTTGAATTAATTAATGGGTTGATTTATCATCTTTTATACTTAATTATATGCTAATTAGGGTAAAAGAAAAAGGGGTTTGAATAAGAAAAATAGAAAGAACAAGAGAGGGAGAATCGATCAAGAGAGAGAGGAACGAAGAGGATAACAAAGCTTTGGGGAAATTGCTTGCTTGATCACGAATCTTCGGTGGAGGTAGGTTATGGTTTATGATATTCGTAGTAAACTCTTAATAGCGAAAATATGTATTGGGTAGTGTTGTAAACCCTTCTATATGCTTAATTGTATGCTTGCATGAATGTGATTATATAATTGTGATAAAATAAGCATGATGAAGCTATTGAATCCTAAATCTTGAAAAGCCCTACTCTACTTTGTTAATGATGATGCCTTGGTATAAAAGAAGGCTTGATGAACGAAAGTAGTGAGATTAGGGGATCGGGTGCCACGTTCTGGTACCAGGATAGTATATGAGGATCAGAGTGTCACATTCCGACACCAGGATAGTATATGGATCGGGTGCCACGTTCCGGTACCAGGATAGTATATGAGGATCGGAGTGTCACGTTCTGACACCAAGATAGTATATCGATCGGGTGCCACGTTCCGGTACCAAGATAGTATATGAGGATCGGAGTGTCACGTTCCGACACCAGGATAGTATATGGATCGGGTGCCACGTTCCGGTACCAGGATAGTATATGAGGATCGGAGTGTCACGTTCCGACACCAGGATAGAATATGGATCGGGTGTCACGTTCCGGCACCAGGATTAGTAAAGAGAATGAATCTTGAAATATGTTAATGTACTCAATTTAATGAACCTAATTCCCAAATGAGTATGATGGGGAGGCGTGAGTCCTCATTGATGTGCTTGGTGTTGTGACCAAAGGTTACGGTAATTGTAAATGCCACATGTTGAGTATTGTAGTTGATTTTATGATATTATCTGAGATATAATGTTTTCTATTTTGAGTTGACCGATGATATCTACTCAGTACCTGTGTTTTGTACTGACCCCTACTTGTATGTTTTTCTCTTGTTATTTGTGGAGTGCAGCAAACGTGTCGTCATCTTCAACTCAACAACAACTCTAGCCAGTCTTCACCGCGTCAGATTTCAGGGTGAGCTATTGTTCCTAGCTCGGACTGGATTCTCTCTCATTCATGTCTTGATGTCCTTGAAGTTCGGACATGGACTATCTCTTGTATTTGTTTTAGTTTCCTAGACATTCTTAGATTTAGTAATTTGAGGATAGATGTTCTTGTGATGATGACTTCCAGATTTTGGGAATAATAAGTTTTGATTTTCATTAATGAGTTTAAGTCTTCCGCATTATATTATGTTAATTATGGTTGAAATGTTGGGGTTTAGATTGGTTGGTTCGCTCACATAGTAGGATAAGTGTGGGTGCCACTCGCGACCCGTTTTGGGTCGTGACATCTTATTTATTAAGTTACTTTTTCACTTTGTTTATTTAATAGAACTGTATTTATTTATTTTTAATAAAGAGAAAAATAAAAATAAATATAAAATAAATCAAACCTACACTATCTTTACATTTCTTTTAATGCGAATTTTTTTTTAAAAAAAAATCAATTAATTCATTCATGATGAAAGAATAAAAAATAAAAATTTAAATAAAAGGAAAAGACGTAAAAGAAATTTATAAAGCATAAAAGTATAACAAATTAGAAGGAGAAAATATAAAAGAAAAATAAGGTAAAGTATAAAAAGAAAGAGAAACAAATAAAAAAAATGAAAAACAATGTTAAAGTGACCCAAAATTTACAAAGTAAATAAATAAATAAAATTGATATTAATTACTGGGTTCTTTTCATTT